AGTGCCCTATATCACACGCGTATGAATAAGAATTTACTTTCCACCCAAGTGAGAATATGCTACTTTCCGCAGTAGCTGTCAGAAAATGTCAAACACATAATTTCTATTTTGATCTATGTAATGTCCATATTAATACTAAAATCGATATGATTGTTAAATTATTGTAAATTAGATCCTAGATATTTATCTTTAACAATTATTTTTAAAATAATTTTAAATAACTAAGATATATTTGCTTTTTATTCTGGTTAAACACATAAGCGATTAGATCAATCAATTACCGTAAGGCCTGTTAGCTCAGTTGGTTAGAGCATCAACTTTGCAATTTGAGACCGTCCAACGACCGCGATCGAATCCTGGCTGTGCCAGAATTTTTTTTTAATTTTTTTTTTATTTATTTTTTATTTTTTTTTATTTGTTTAGAAATTATGAAAATTTAATAAATACGATTATTGTTGATTATTTTTTTAAATACATTTTAATTATTATAATAATCTGGTTTTACATTTTTTGATGAAATTATTTTGTATTCGTAGGAAAAATATTGTACATCACTTGTGTGAAAAGTGATTTTCCACACTCGTGTGATAGTCGCACTCGGCTTACGCCTCGTGCGACAATATTTCCCACTCGTGTGAAAAATGACACTTTCCACACTCGTAATGTAATATACTATAGTTATCATATTATGATTAATTATAAAGGCTGTTAACGATTGGTACCAATTAAAGTAAAAATACCACCTATTGTGCATTAATTTTAAATCTTAAATTTTTAATATTTAATGTCTCACTTTACTTTCTTCTTTAACCTGTAGTTTCTGTAACTGAATTGTGACCGTAATTAAACCACCACATTTTTATTATTATTATTCCACGACCCTCTCTCTGACATTAATTTAGAGTAAATTTTAAAGCTAGTCAAGGTACAACTGTTAGTAGCAAAATTACACTTATCATAAGCTCCTAACACCTGCAAGAAGTCATATCTAAAAAATGTTATTGTTGTAACTGGTGTGTAAATTTAGTTAGCTTGTTTGGTTACTACAAAAAAGACAAAAGCACGTTCCTATTCTAGCACAAAAAGTAACACTTTAATAAAAGTCGCCCTTCTAAAAAGTTAAAATCCCGGATATGTGCCCTTATACGATAAAGCCGACCATATAAGTGGATTTACCAAATCTTCTATTAAAATCAGATTATACACATCTCCATTAAATTTTTATTATATTTTATTGTGTTATATATTTTATTGACAATTTGCTGTAAAGGAAATAAATTTTATATTGAACAAACAACCAAACCATTTTATATAGGATTAAGCAAACACGAAAAAGTGTGAATATGCACGGGTTACGATCTCAATAAAAGGTGTACTGTCATTATTCCGATGTATTGTTGCCTTTTTGGTTGAGTTTCCAAACTAATAAAAGACAATTTAATAAATTTCAGTTTATTCAGCCAATTGTAAAATGTATATGATTTATTTTTAGTACTTATAAATCAAATAGCAGATCGTAATAGTTTTTCATTGTGTAGATATACATATAGATATGTCTATCTCAATGTCTACGCCTAACCAGTGACTTTAAAGACTGAGTAAGTAGGTATTTAATAAAGTTTAAATTTTTTTTAATAATTAGCACTAAGTATAAAATTTATTGGAAAAAGAAAAATGTATTTAATCATTTAAAACATGTTTTTTAAATCCGACACCATGGTTATGGTAACAGAATTATTAGAAGAAAAAAGTAAAAAAAATGTTTTTCGTGTTAGTTGTTCCGTTAGGATGCATTGGTATAACATTTTGCTTTGGATATAATTTAATGGATTAAAATGAATTTTTAGCGCTTTCGGCTTTACAATCATATCCATTATAAACAATTATTTAAAACTAATAAAAATGTTTGCAACTAAAGATGTATGATAAAATGATTAATTAAAACGTTTAAACAAAAATAAAATTAAATGAAATTAGCATTTCCTAATTCAATCAATGTTAATGATGTTATTTATAGATTTTTCTCATATTTTGAAAAACTTTCTATTGACATATCAAAAGTTTTATTTTATAATGTTTCTCTAATAGTAGTTTTTGCAACAAGAGTGGATATGAACAATCTACTAGAGTTGTACAGTATATTTTTTCTACGACCCACTAACGAAAATCTACAAATTTTAAATAATTTATGACATTTACTAATTTATAAAATAAAATAGACATGAAAAAAACGGATTTAATTAATGGGTGGCACAAAATTGATCGAAAAATATTTGATTGAACTGGAAATTTGATCGAAAATACATTTTATCGAATAACATTTGATTGAAAATACATTTTATCGAATAACATTTGATCAAAGATACATTTTATCGAATAACATTTTATCGAGAAGACAATAGATTCTGAAATCATTACATCACAAGGACAATATCACGAAAATCAAAATTAAAAATAGTGAAATATAAAAAAAAATCAAACGAAACCATGCAACCGTCCGTCTAATCTCTATTACCGGGGAATCTACAGTCTGTTCGCTATATTTACGCGGGTTTCGGATTAACAAAATTATGCAAATTAGTCATTGTCAACCAGTTCCAATAAGCCTCTTCTCAAAAAATTAGGTATAATTGCTCTAATGGTCCGATTTAAATTAAAATTACATTAGGGTAGGTACTAAATTTGTTACAAATATTGCAGTTGAATTGATTCTTTGCAAGTGTTGACATTGTATGTATATTGTAAATTTAGTGGAAATTTTAAAAATGCCTAGACGTGTGTTAGATGTAGATAGTCTAATTTGTAGTGTACATAAGTATTTTACGGATGAAAAAGAAAATAGCGGTCCTTTAAAATCGGTAATGTCTCTACAACAACGCGTATGCGATGCTCTAGGAATTAGTAAAAGCAAATTAAGAGGAGTAATACAAAATTACAATAGTGAACTGCCGAAAGAAGATCACCGCAAAATTCGCTCATCATTGAAAACAAAAGATATTCCAGATGGAAAGAAATTTGAAATTCGTGGTACCATTTATCGAATGAGGGCCAACAAGGAACATGTGACCTTAAATACAATTCTCTCAGAATTAATGGATAGAAAATTTGTCGACATTGGCAGAACAAGTCTATAGCAAGTGATACATAACATACCGATGAAGAAGGGAAGCGACACATAATTTTACATGCAGGAGGGAAATTGGGTTTTATAGAAGGTGCAGATTTAATATTTTCATCTAAATCAAAATCCAGTGACTATCACAATAATATGAACACAGAAATGTTTGTAAAATGGTTGCATGAAAAACTTCTCCCAGGTTTAAGTGAGCCAGCGTAATTATTTTAGTCAATGCACCTTACCATTCTGAAGTATTAAACAGAATTCCAACGAATTCTTGGACTGTTTTAAAAATTAAAGAATGGTTGACAAAAGAACATATACCATTTCCTCAATATATATTAAAATCAGAATTATTAATCTTGGAAAATATACACGCAATACCAAAAACCTTTGTTTTGGATCAGATTATTGAAAGTTACGGTCATCAAGTTTTACGTCTGCCACCGTATCATTGCCAGTTTAATCCCATCGAATATATATAAGGAATAGCAAAACAATATTATGACAACCATATTGGTCCTAATGGTTATAGTGACGATGCAGTTCGGGAAACTTGGCGAAAAGCACTTTCAATTGCAACTCCAAGTGTGGCGGAACTGTATATCCAAGTGCGAGAAACTAATAGAAAATTGGTGGACTCGTGAAAATAAAATAAACGAAATAAGTCCAATCATAATAACAATTAATGGTGATGATTATGGCGATTATGATATTTTGGATGATAATGACTGATTTTCATTTTTGTTGGCAAGATATTGACTTGTGCCTAGTTGATGTTCACGCGTTAAGGAGCACACTTTCAGCTACAGCAGCGATTACTTCAGGTGTACGCCAAGGATGAACATGCGGAACATGTTTTACGTCCATAAGCATTCCAGTTTTTTGCACTTTATCAATAAAATTCTTAAATCCTTGATTTGAAGGCGCCTCATTTCTTCCAAACTTTGTACGCAATTTTCGCGCCGTCTCGCAACCACAGAGTCACACTCAAAATAAGTTTTTTGAGTATAAAAACGTTGATCTAGACTAAAGCGATGCATATTCGGTTAGCGGAAGGATAAAACTAAATCACTGTCAACAATTAATGACAGTCAAATTGTCAACTTCATTAATAACATATTCATGGCCCACCCTTTGGTAATTAATAAGCTTTGTGACAGAACCGGTTATACAAAAATGACAAATCAACATATGCCAAAAACAACACCCTGGCAAACTTGAGAAGCAGTGAAATTAATTTAAAATGTCAGGTTGGATTAATAATTTTTTTCATATTATGGTGAGAAATGGTGTGAAATTTTCTTACCGAATACCACGCAAGCTTAAATTATTCCTGGAAATTTAATCTCTTGTGATATTATAAGTGAATATTTGCTGAAAATTCTGGCACGTTAATTGTACTATTTTTTACACTGTCGGATTATTATTTATTTATTCACTGATATTAAATTATAAATCTACAAATTTTCAGCTTTGTGTTCAACACGTTTACTTTAATCATATGAGAAATCACTCTTATAATTAATAACTCAAAACTATCCCAATTAAAAAATGCAAACTATTTATTTAACATTACCAAAAATATATAAATTTGAACATATTAGTTATTTAAACACAAAAAGCTAATGCAATATTAAAAAATTAGTTGTAAAAAATCCTGTAACATTCCACGACTTGTTTTGCCCTATTTGGGGCTCATCAAGTAAAACGTAGTCACCTCGAGTAGAATCTCTAATCTAATCTGAAGATGATAAAAGTTTTATATTTTTAATGTTATAACGTTTTTTCCGTTTCATGTCTTCCTTTATAATAATTAAATACGTTTTGCATACACCATAAATTTTATTTATTTTCATTAATTTGCCTAAAATTATTACAGGATTGGAAACCATCAAGTGAACATCAGTACTGTTAAAGAAAATTCTGCTACCGCAATGACGATTGGAAAAGGATCTGATAGTATATTTAAGGGTACTTTTCCCCAACTAGTGGCTGTGCTAGCAGGTAAGAATAGTACTAAATTAATATAAAATAATCACTACAAGATCGTCTAAATAATATCATTTATTTCTTATATTAATTAAAAACAAATTAATTTATTGAAACATTCATAACTTACAATATCTATTACTGTCGATGGATAGATATACAGGGTGGACCGGATTTAATTTGCGTATACAGAGATCTCGTATACCGTAAGATATACATTGTCGGTTAAATGGGGAAAAAGTTTCGTATTTTGACGGATAATACAATGGTCCATACAAGTTCCAGATTTTCTGACTGGTTCCGGAGATATTTAATAAAATCCGAAATCCTCATTTTCGATTTTTAAGTCGTTCGTTGTTATTATAAAAGATACAAAAAAAGTACACAAAGCTTTTGTTATAAATCAAGTTCCCTATAATCTACCATGTAAAAATTTTTATTACGACGTTTCGTATTTGCAGAGCCACCTTCAACTTATTTTTTTAAATACAGAACTGGATTTTTAACTGTAATTTTTTACAGCTTTTGTATAGCTATATACAACGATATGTTACACTTTAGCTTGTGATTAAAACAGGATAGCTAATTAAATAATAATTTAAAAACAAAAAATGCTTAAAATGTGAAAATATTATTTGAAAAATAATACAAGAATTATTTAATTACAAAAAGGGTTACAATTTTTTATCAAACATGGTTATAATACATATAATACAATAATCTGAATATTGATTAGTCCACACCACACATTTTGGGTAAAACTTCTCTGATTAAATGGAGATTAGAAGTAGCATACAAATGCTTGTTCCTGGGATTAAACATTCCACTATTAGTAAAGGAGCATTCATCCGTCCATAATATCTTTTTGTTGAAAGAACGGTCATTGCGCAGTTTTCTACTATACGACAAAACATCAGTCTTCTATCAGAGTCTCCAGCGTGTAATTTCTGGACTTTTTGAAATTTATACCCGTGGTATTTAGGTTTTTTTTTTAAATTCTGTTAACCGTGGAGGTTCCTACTACACATTCTTTAGGTATTCGCCTAGTAGAATTTTCAGGGGTAATATGTATTTGGACAAGAACATTAATTTCATTATCAGTATGTCGAACCTGATATCTAGTTCTCCTTTTTTTCACACTGCTATGCTCCGCCATATTTTTTTAAATATAAGAAAACATCCTCTTAGATGGCTGTTGTCTATCAGGATATAAATCTAAATAAGTCTGAGCTGACCGGGTTTCATTCCTATAGCATCTTATGTACACATTATACATATCTTTCTTCTCTTCTTCAGTATAACGAACAATAATATTTATTTCATTTTAAATTATTTAAAGCTAAAAAAGTACTGTAATATTAGATGTTACAGATTATAACAGAAGTATTGGTGACATCTGACATGCATGGCAAACATGATTTTGTTAAGATCTTATGTATGCAAAAATGAAAACATTAAAGATAGAAAAAATACGGTGTGAGAAACCTAAGCGAAAGATTTTACAGAAACTCAGGTGATAGGAATTAATAGATTGCTTGACCATTTTGCTTTTCATTTTATGTTTTTGTTATTAGCTTTATTATTTGTAGAATGTCTACAACCATAATTCGTTCTTCATTAGTCTTGTTTGCTGGTTGTACTTAAATATGTTTGATAAAAAATTGTAACCCATTTTGTAATTAAATAATTCTTATATTATGTTTCAAATAATATTTAAAATGTCACATTTTAAGCATTTTTTGTTTTTTAATTATTATTTAATTAGCTATCTTGTTTTAATCAAGTAAGAAACGGTATCATCAGAAGCTACATAGCTGATGATATTTTCATAGACGAAACGTAGTAAAATGGTAAAATGTAACATACCGTTGTATTTAGCTATACAAAGGCTATAAAAAATTACAGTTAAAAATCCAGGTTCGTATTTAAAAAAATAAGTTGAAGGTGGCCCTGGAAATACGAAACGTCGCAATAAAGATTTTGACATGGCAGATTATAGGAAACTTGATTTATAACAAAAACTTATATAATAACAACGCACGACTTAAAAAACGAAAATGAGGTTTTTCGGATTTTATCGAATATCTCCGGAACCAGTTAAAAAATCTGGAACTTTTATGGACCATTTTATTATCCGTCAAAATACGAAACTTTTTCTCCGTTTAATCGACAATCTCTGTATACGCAAACTAAATCGGGTCCACCTCTGCTTTATACTATATTAGAGTTAGTCATGCATAATTGTACATACTTCTACAGTAGATAGAAGCACCAGGTCACACTGGCAGTATTTTAAAAATTGTACTAGGGTCTACCTCATGAAGCTGGAGAAATGACTTTACGTCTTAGAAGAGAGTTTTTCAGCCTTTATATCCACCTTGTCTAACCCAAATCATACAACATACCATTATATCTTTAACAATCGATTTAGCAAATTATAGCACTTAAAAGAGAAGGATTCCTGCATTTTATGAAAGGTAAATAGTTTCAGTAGTGATCTAAACATCAGTATATTCAAAATATTCTCGACAAATGTCCAATTTTCTTCACCATAAATCTTCCAAAGTGCTATTTTGATCTCAGATGCTTTGACAAACACAATAGAAATCCGAAACCTTGTCAATATTTATCCTCTCCTATCCAAATTAGTACAGATGCATCTAAAACATCGAATGGCGTAGGTGCTGCAGTATTAACCAAGTATGAGACTCAAAACCTCTTCTGCTCCCATTCTTTTAGGGAAAAAAATGAGTTACAGTTTGTAATAATAATTCTTAATATTATATTCAGCAATTGTCCCATATCACTCATCAAACATCAACTACGACGTTCAAAGTATTAGTAAAGAAGTGATCTTCATCTGGGTCTCTTCCATATCACAATTTGTCTATAAGAGAAGACTCTAAATAATTTAGAAACATATACAACAAGCATCACGACAATAACATTCGCTTCTCTTTCAGGAGCCCGTTAGAATATTATAAGGCATCGTTAAAAAGGAATAAATAGATAGGTTTAAAATGGTTAGGAATTATGTACAGTTAAACATGACTCACTCTGTTTATATCACTGCAGCGGTACCTTAAGGTCCACCTTTGGCTATCAAAATTATTCATATAATGTATAAATCTCTGATGCACCAAAGCTGTCTTTTACATAGAGCAATTTAACCACTATATGTTACATCTGATCACTTTTTATATCCGCTTCTTCTGCATTGTTGCAAAATATTGTAAATAAATATTCATGCATATCTGTTGTGTTACTAAAAGTGTGCGAAAACAACAATCTAACAGCCGGTTGCAAGAAAGTTTAATAAAATTCACGAGCCTAATAAACATTGGCAAATATTTAAAGTGTAGATGTTTTCTTGCAAACTGCTCATAAAGATATTGTGCATTTAAAGTGTTTACATCATAGTTTAGTACCATTTTTATTAACAAGTTTAAGAATTGTGAATTTACTCAGATTGCTTTTTCTGAGGAGGATACCTACATGTCCTAGCTTGCTGGCTGGAATTCGCTAATATTCAAGCTGTGGCATGGTAAGTTACATTACTGTATTTCTAAAATTACACCTGAAGCCGTCAGATGGTCTCTGTTACCAAATTTACTATTGCTTGCCTGTTTCCTTGCCTGGCTAATGCATGAGAGTTGTAAGGGTTAGCACCAACCTATATTCTCTTTTGTTTAAATATTTTATTAACATTTTAAAATAAATTCTGTTTTAGGCACTTTAACGGCAATTAGTGATGGAATGCAATACGGATGGACTGCTCCAGTATTGCCAATACTTTTAGGTCCAGATTCTCCAGTTAAAGTCAATAAACAACAAGGAGAATGGCTGGAAAACCTTCTTATGATTGGATCGTTCTCTGGACTATCAATCACAATGTACTTAGTAGATAAAATAGGTAGAAAAAGATCGATATTGTTAGCATCGTTTGTAACAGTTTGTATTTGGATTCTTACCGCTCTAGCTCCAAGTGTTGAGTATATCTATGTAGCCAGAGCGTTTGCAGGCTCAGCTGGTAATATGGCTTTTGTAGCCACACCCATGTATATAGCAGAGATTGCAGAACAAAAAATCAGGGGATTTCTTAGCAGTTTGATATATTTAATGATGTTATTTGGAATACTTCTAATATACTCAGTGGCGCCTTATATTCCATTCTATGCACACTGTGTAATAGGAGGATTGCTAGCTTTCACAGAGCTTTGTATATTCCCGTTCATGCCAGAAAGTCCTTACTATTTGCTCTACAAAAATCAACCTGAAGAGGCTGAAAAGTCGTTAAGACGACTCAGAGCACCAGGTGTAAATATAGAGAAAGAACTTGAAGATATCAAAGCGGCTGTAGCAAGACAAAAACAAGAAAGAGGGAAACTTCAAGATCTTATTTTAGTTCCTAGTAATCGTAAAGCTATGATTATTATGGCTATTTTAAATGGTGCTCAACATTTTAGTAGTATTAGTGTACTTCTAATGAATACTCACAGCATTTTAGAAGCAGGTGGTTCCATATACGTTCCACCGGATATAGCAGCTATTCTTTTTGCTGTTCTGATGGTAACTGCTGCAAGTATTGCATCTTTTACAATAGATAAATTTGGTAGAAGGACACTCTTGATCTCATCTAGTTTAGCGACAGGGCTGTGTTTGATGGTGCTTGCAATATATTTTAGTTTAAAAAATTCTGGCTATAATACAGCGCCTGTAAGTTGGATTCCTGTTGTTTGCATAATGTCGTACGCACTTGTTTTTAAATTAGGTTTAGGAATGGTTCCTATAGTGTTAACTGCCGAATTGTTTCCTACGAAAATGAAAGCTTATGGTATGACTTTAGCAGATGGGATGTATGTTATTGCTTCTTTGTTGTCGTTACAAGTTTATCAGAGGCTGTATGATAATTTTGGACTAGAATATCCCTTCTATGTGTTTTCTATCTCTTGTTATATAGCTGCTGTTTTTACTTACTTCTTTATTCCAGAAACAAAGGGTAGAACTTTAGAGGAGATACAGATGATATTGAAAGGTAAAAATGTTGAAGATGCTGGCAAATCGATAGATGTTTGATTAAAAATTACTGACTATAAATGAATCTCTATTATTTATTTATTAATTTACTTAGATAAATGGAATTTTATTTATTTGAAAATTTTTTTGAATTGGTAGTCTAATTCTGAAAGACAATAGGAATTTTATTTTGTTTGAAATGTTTTCTGATCAGGTTTCCTTATTTAGATTTAGATTTTATGAGTTGAATTGGTGCACATCCAGTAAATAATATTTCAACTCGATAGTATTCTGATTCTGAAAGTTTCAGTTTAGGAAGGGAATTTGAATTTTATTTATTTAAAATGTTTTATGATCAGGTTTCTGTAGCTGGATTGGTACCTTGATCCCGTATATAACATTCCAAATAATAACTAATTTATTTTTAGTACAATTCATGACAATGAGATATTTTATAATTTTGATTTACAACTGTTTGATATCTGAATACGTTTCTGCCTAATTTTCATGCTACTTAAAAAGATTTTTAAAGAAATTTTATGCCAGAACGATCCATCCCACTTTGTCCAAAGTACTTTGCTTACTGTTCCGGAATGAGCTATTCGAATTTTTAAATGTACGCGTTGAAATTGCACGTTTGTCCAATATCTACGAAATAGCCCGATTGGGCATAGAAAATGCTATCTACTACATACTACGCCTGAAGAGAAATTGCTCCGTCATTTGAAGGTAAAACGTGCAATCGTTTCTATCAATTTATTATTCTGCAAGCTTATGATCGTCATCTCTATCAATGCTTTACATTTTATACTACACTATATTAAAAGAAAGTGAGGGTGGAGTTGTGGCATTATTTCTTGAAAGATATTTACGCTTTTGTGAGTTACATTGATCTTTGACTAAAGTTAAAGGGCCAACTAGGCATAACGAAAGCACACATAACAGGTGTAAAACAAAGATATTTTTACTTATATGTTATTGTACGTGGTAAGTTTAATTACAAACCAATCATACCGAGTCCTTATAATCAATGCATTTCTCATATTTACTGATGGTGTAAAGAGGTTTTTGAAGATTTGAGAACAAGCCTGAAAGGGTGCTTAGCCTGAATTAGCACATCAAATTGCCGTCTGCGAATCTCATTAATCAATGTCGTCATAGTTTAGCGGTAAGGGCATTTGTGTATAGAATAAAGATGTCTGGGTTCGAATCCCACGAGCGACAGGTTTTTTTCCAATCTGTAAGTATATTATTTCACCTTTGGGGTTTATTTCCGAATTTTTAAATTATTTCAAATAATTCTGACCTTTCGGATTTCGACCATATTAAATTCACAATTTTAATTACATTTATAAAAAAACTTGATAAAAGTACACCAACCTTATGTGTATTTTTAGACTTATCCAAGGCTTTAGATACTATCGATCCTAAAATATTGAGGTACTAATGGACCTTGGTTTCAGAGTAAATGTAATATATTAAAATCTTACTTACCCAACAGCGTACAATATGTCAAAATTGAAGATACGCTAAATGATCCATGTATTTGTAACATGGTGATCCACAAGTAACAGTACTGGGGCCCATTCTATTGTCCATATATATATTAATACTTTTAGACATGGTACAATTATTTAACGTATGCTACTTTGTTTTTCAAGAAATTAATGATGCAATACACGATTTAACAATTTGCATAAAATTTAGATGTGTAAATATGTGAATTTTTTGGAAAATAATAATTTACAAATTTTGAAATTAAAATAAGGGGAGAGGAGGTATATTGGGACACTACAAATTTAATTAACTGTTTATAGCTTGGCTTTCAATATATTGATCACATGAATGTACTTTTTTTAGTTTTTATTTTGTTTGGCATTCTATTCTTGAACGGATTTTTTATTTAGATTTTGATGTACTTATTTAGGATATAATGCAAATTTAATTTTTCTTAGCCCATTTGTCAGAATTAATATGAACCATAAAAAATGCATTTTGGTATAAGGAATGCCAAACAAATTAAAAAATTATGAAATTAATTAGATAGTTAAATTGGTGGGTAAAATATACGGGGTATTCCATTTGAAAAAACTGAGAAAATCGCAATCTCGCGTTTTGACACACCCTATATACAACATAGCAAATTAATGAAAATGCAAAACATTTTTAATAACCTTATACCTATTGAAATTGTTTGACGGTGTTAAAACAATCAAATCTGTTAAACATTATAAGTTTGGTCTGCCCCTTATTTATGGGCTATTCTATATTTTTAAGAATAATTGTAAAATATGGTCTTACAACCTTTGTATTAAAAATGTATTTGTATCTATAATAATAAAACAACTATCGATCAATTACACACTGCTGAGACACCCTGTATATGTATAATAGGCTAACGTGATGGTATCGTACTAAAATTATATACACGGAGCTGAATTTGATAAAATTTAGTAAATTGAACTTGCTATGTGTGAGATGATTCAAAACACTCTGTTCTATCATCTCTATACGGTATTTTGGAATTTTATAAGTCTGTATTTTAAATAATTTAGAAATTATTGATATGCTATCTAAATTCTGATAATTTTACTGGGGGTCTGCTTCATTTAAAAAAATTAATTGCTAGGCAACCTTGTAATACTTTTAAAAAATATTCTAGGGCTCAATACAGTAATAACATACTATTGCAAAATTTAAATTAAATCTTATTTAAAAAAATATGTACTTTTACTTTCCAGGCAAAAGTATAAATATTTTTAAATTATGTGTTTTCCAAATCCATATAGCTTTTATTTAACACTTGTTTACGTGCCTATACCACAAATTTGGAGGAATTAAAACCTAGTGAAGCCTTGCTATATTAAATTCACAATCACAGTACCAAACCCAAATTCATAATGCAATAATTAAAGAACCATTTTATATGCCGACTGGATTATAAAGGCAATTCACTGCATGGCAACTTGTCTACATTCTTTGCAGCATACATTTTCAAACGTCGTTACAGGAAAAGAACTATCATGACGTTAATAAACGTCATGGGCAGTGAAAGTGTTAGTATATTAAACACCGAAAAGTATGTGAATTTTTTTATCGCGCATATTTACTCAATACTTTCACATAGTTTAATTGCATACAAAAAATACATGTTCCGAGTAATTATAAAAAATATATATTTTTAAAAAATTAACGCAACGCATGTGCATGCCGCCATTGTATGCAAATTAGCTTTCCGTGGTCTATTTAACAACAAAAATAATGCTGTAAAAAAACATACGTTTAATAATTGTTCCTAAATATCTCTTCTTTTTTACATGTTTAATTAACAATTTCGTGACTTTGTCCAAAATCTGTCATTGCCGGATAGTCTATAAAGCAGAGCATTCATTGTTTGGGCAACACAAATATTGTATGACTTACAAAAAGGCACTTTTTAAAACGCATATTTTAAATGAATTAAATGATAGTAAGTATTTAATTTCAAAGAGTATTTTGATTAAATATGGGTTGTGATTCAACATACCTCGTACAATGGCAATTACGATGTAATTACTATTTTAATTTGTATGCATATTATAAATGCGAAAATGTGATAATAAAGAAATATGGATAATATTTTTTTAAGGCAGTTTTATTTTATATAACTTTAAATCATTAGGAACCTACAACAAAATAATAAAAAATACTTACTTACTAATTTAATAAAAAAATATTGTTAGATCAATATAGAAGTAGCAGCATAATTCAGTAAATCATTTTCTTTTAAAACCACTGACACTTAATGAAATAAATTATACTTTAAAAAATAACAATAATACTAGCCCTGGATATGATAATATCAAAGATTCCATTTTTAGACATTTACCTCTAGCAGTTAAAATACTACTACCACCAAAATATGAAGATAGCCTTAAGAAAGTCATTGTACTTCCAATTTTAAAAAAGTTGAAAGGATCTAAATTTGGCCCAATTATACCGGCCAAACTCACTTCTGTCTTGTGTGTTGAAAACCTTGGAGCGCATGATCAATATTAAACTAAAGAAAAATTACTCCCAAGTAATCAGTTTGAATATAGAAAAGGATATGGAACGATGGATGCTCTCTCTACTCTAACAACAGACATTTAGAACAATTTCTCCCGAAATAACTATTTATCTACCCTTTTCGTAAATATAGAAGGTAGATCTATCAATACTAAAGATTAAGATGACTGACGAGTTCAAAATTCCTTATTCAATTGCTAATATCATTATAAAATTTTATTCCAGCAGGTGTATATACAGTATGGTTCAAATGAAAGAAATAAATTCATTATAATGGAAGTAGTTGGTTTTTCGAAAAAATGCTCGGACAGGTCAATTTTGTTTACTCATAGCGCAATTTTTTAAGTAGAATTCAATTTTCCCCCACTTCCCATTTTTGGATAGTGACGTCATTGGCAATTTTTTTAAATAGTAACCCCAATTTTTTTTTCTTGATTTTGTTAGATCTTGCAATTTCCTACTCGGAAGCATAATATTTGAAATATCTTAAATAACAATTTTTTTTGAATAAAAGTAATTTAAAGATCGGACACATAAATTTTATTTTATTTTGAGAACACAATAAATGAATAAAAGATAATTATTTGTAATTAAGTGCTTAATTAAACAAAATAATAATAATATTATTATTAATAATAATAATAAAAAAGAATTTGTGAAATTGTCATTACATTCTTTTTATTATTATTATTATTATTATTATTATTATTTAGATGAAGCACTTAATTACAAATAATCTTTTATTTATTTATTGTGTTTCAAAATAAAATAAAATTTATGTATCTGATCTTTAAATGACTTTTATTCAAAAAAAATTATTATGTCAGATATTTCAAATATTATGTTTCCGAGTGGAAAACTGGAAGATCTATCAAAATCAAGAAAAAAAAATTGGGGTTACTATTTAAAAACATTGTCAATGACGTCACTGCCCAAAAATGGAAAGTGGGGGAAAATTGAAGTCTATTTAAAAAATTGCGCTTTGAGTAAACAAAATTGACCTGCCTGAGCATTTTTTCGAAAAACCAACTACTTCCATTATAATGAATTTATTCCTTTCATTTGAACCATACTGTATATGTAGAGACCATGAAAATAAGCTCGTAGGTCCTCGTTACACCAGTATTGATGTACCACAGATCTGTTTTGAGTCCCCTACTTTTTAATATTTATACCGCCAAATTGCATAAAATTTGTTTGATTAATATACCGTTCAAAGAGATTTAATACGCAGACGATATATGTATCTACACGGAACAAAAGAAATATGACTCTTCCCTTACATCCTTAAATACAATGTCTAGGTTGCAGTCTTGATGCCGTATTAATGATTTTAAAAGTTCTACCAACAAGACTGTTGTATGTATTTCATCCGACTCAACACACCTAATAATAATATTACAATTAATTTAAAACAACAAGAATTTTCTTTACAAACACACGCTAAATATCTTGGAATAATCTTCGATAAGAAGATCACGTGGAAACATCACATTAAATATGAACAGGTGTCAAACGGGATTAAATTTTCTAAAAGTTTGGTTAGGTGCCGATGTTAATACAGGTTTATTATTTTATAGATTCTACATTCGATCTATATTGGCCTATGAGTGTATTTTGTATGAAATCGGCCAACTTTTCTCTATTGAAAAAGTTTTTCTATACTACGCTATAAAATCTACAAAAACTGAATCCCTTTATGTCGAAGCTGTAGAGCCACCCATTAAATATAAAATAGAATACATAAGCCAACAATTTCTCTTAAAGACATTCTTATATAATTCAACCCTATTTTCTTAAATTATTTAGCTTAATACATACTATTTATCAAATAAATACTAGATTCATTAAAACTCACTGCAGTTCTGTAAAGCTGTTGTGAGATAGCGTTCGACTCCTTAGGTTCTTTCGACCAATTCTTCATTAAAACCGACTTTCCCTATTTCTTTACCAATTATGATGAAAATCTTCATAATTGTTCAAATCAACTCCTTTTTAACCTAAATAGCTTTCCTGAACATAGTGTAATATACACCGATGCATCCAAGTCAGACTTAGGTACTGGTTGCGCCTATTACGTCCCGTCTCTTAATATTAAAGCTCTTTACAAACTACCTGATAACTTTTCTACTTACACTGCTGAAGTGATTGCGATACTAGAAGCCATACAAACAATACAAACACTAAAGCAGCTCTAATTGCTTCAGATTCTTTATCTCTTTTAAAATCGGCTATATCTCTGGACATTTCAAATTTTAATTTAAATCCATATATTTTCTTGATCAAAAAGTCATTGTTCCAACTAATTAATAATGTAAAGATATGCTTTATATGGGTAAAGGCTCATATTGGACTTAAACACAATGAATATGTTGATATGCTAGTAAAATCTGTAATAAAAAGAAGAAACTAATACCATTCATAACATCTGTAGCCAAGATATCGTTGCCTTGATAAAATCCAACAATATGAGAAAATGGAGGCATGATTGGTCACAATTCTGTTCCACTTATTCAAATCAGCATATTCCAGACATTCCAAACTCACCCTGGTTTAAAAATCATATAATTCCATGACCCTACATTACATCTTTTATTAGAACCAGATTTGGTCATGCCACTTATCCCAAATACTTGTTTAAAATTAATGTAAAAGAAGATGAAAATTCTGAGTTTTGTGAAACAACTGGAGACCTTAATCACGTTTTCTGCGAATAAAAAAAATACGTAGTACATTCAAACATGTTTTATATGAATTTTATATAAAATAACATTTCATCCCCCTTAAATATTGAAACCGTTTTAAGACATTTTTCTGATGATATTACCAATTTCCTCTGTCTTTGTCTATAGTTGGAATCTTAATCTTTTTTCTTCTGTATTATACCTATTTGTTTATCCTCTTTTTGAGGCCTTATTTTGTTTATCTATTAAAAAGTCCTGATGTGTCACTGGACGAGGAACGAGTGTCCCCGTCACATATTGTTTCTCTTCTTACAACTCTTGCTGATAGGAAATATTCTTGGGTAGTTCTAATTATGGACGAATCTGTGTCTGGCTGAATGGCAATGAGGGAATTTAGACCTTTTGTTCTGTATGGTACGCCATTTTTCCCCCCGCCGGGCGTTGCTCTGCTGTACGCAACTGTTCCAGGAGACCTTCGGTAATAGGGCTGGTACATTAAAATTCATTTACTTTAAATAACTGGCTATTGTACGTTCACATAGCCAATTACCCCACTGGGCTTACCATCACTTCGAGCACAGTTCAGTACGTAAACTAATATTAGTGATCACTATTATTAATTCTACCTAATTCGGTACGTAATTCTTAAAAATTAGGGTGGCCAACGGTCCCACCATCCTACACGGATGATATACGTTAGTTTTCACCTTTTCTTTGTGTTTCCACATGATAAAAATAAATAATTCGACTTTTTTTTACGACTGTCTACAACAGCGCACACCAAAGAAGTGTCTTGCTTCTTGACACCAAGCGAGAGTTCGCGCGCCGGTCTTACTTTCGGCATTTTTGACCACCTAAGCTGCGCAAAGGTGCGGAAGGCGCCCGCCACAAGCATAGAACACTACCCTGCGACAACCGCACTCCGCCCCCTAGACGCTAGATGGTGTTACGGGTACTGAATTATCTATTAATTGTTCTTTAGGGTCGCATCAGTTGGAAATTGAATCCAGGTCTGTAATTCAAATCATAATGAATTATTTCTTGATTCATTTTAATTAAGAGGAAGAAAAAACTAACCTAAAAAGTGATATTTGCTGATCATAAATGTACAATTAATTGTACAGCTTCACAGCTTCTGTATGTCTAGAATGCATCATTTTATTTTAAGTTTTTTATATCAATTTTCATTGTTTTGTACTATAATATTTGTCCAACGTTTTGTGATTGTTATTACAGTTCAATAATGAACCGATGGTTTTTAATAAAATGATAAAATGATATCGGCATGTATTTAATCCAAGAAAACATACATGTCCTAGCTTGCGGCATATGGGCGTTTGCTAATATTCAAGCTGTGACATGGTAAGTTGTGTACTGTGTTTTTGAAGTAATTTCTAAAGCCTTCAGATCGGTTCTATTAGCGAATTTATTCTTGCTTGGCTAATGCATGTGAGGTAATGGAATAAAAATCGGGAGCTATTCTACATATTCATTTAAAACAATTTATATTTTGCTTTACTTACATTTAATAATTCTGTTTAAGGTACGTTAACGGTAATCAGTGATGGAATGCAATACGGATGGACCGCTCCAATGTTACCAATCCTTTTAGGTCCAGATTCTCCAGTTAAAGTCACTAAACAGCAAGCAGAATGGCTGGAAATACTTATAATGTTAGGATCTTTTTGCACGCTTGGACTCACCATGTACTTAGTTGACAAAATCGGTAGGAAACGATCAATGTTATTATCATCGTTCGTAACAGTTTGTTGTTGGATACTTATGGCAGTAGCGCCAAGTGTTGAGTATCTCCTCGTAGCTAGATCTTTTGCAGGAGCGGCTGATAACATGGCTTTTGTAGCCACACCTATGTACATAGCCGAGATTGCTGAACAAAAAATTAGAGGATTATTAAGCAGTATTATTTTTTTAATG